TCCAATACCTCATACTCATCCAGCCAAAAACAGCACTGGCTTCAGTTACCAATCCCAAATGCATGAATCCACCCATCCCCTCTCACGATATATATAACCCCGTCCTTTCCACTCTCTCATCCCCACAGCTGCCCAATTTCGAGAGAGAGGACGTTGATCCAAATCAAGTTAAGAACTTACCTATAGCAACCCATAGGGAAATTAAAACAGAGATTGATCGATGTCTCCTTCTCTCTCTGCCTCTCCTATCTCCGCCGCCACCATCATAAACTCCAACTCCTTGCAGTTGCCGGCGACCAAATCCCCACTTGTCCAACCTATTACCAAATGCACCGTGCTGCCGGATCGGAAATCGACTGAGTCCGACCTGAAGCTCTCTGTCTCCGACCTTCCCATGCTTTCATGCTACTATATCCAAAAAGGTCTCTTTTTTCCACCTCCTCACATACCAATCCACCGTCTTTTCTCCCTACTTACTCGATCCCTTTCCCGCGCCCTCTCTTTCTTCCCCGGCCTTGCCGGCACACTCACTACCAATCCTGACGACGGCCGCATCTTCATCTCCTGCAACGACGTCGGCGTCGAATTCATCCATGCAGCCGCTCCATCCCTCTCCCTTCAGCTGCTCCTTCGCCCGTCCCACGACGTCCCCATGGAAGTTCAGTCCCTATTCGCCCTCGACGGTGCCGTCAGCTACGATGGCCATTTCCGCCCCCTCGCCGCCTTTCAATTCACTGAGCTCGGTGATGGCGCCGTATTCATTGGCTGCACGGCCAACCACGCCGTCGTCGACGGCACTTCCTTTTGGAATTTCTTCAACGCCTGGGCCGAACTCTGCCGCTCGCCTGCTACGACGACGATCTCACGCCCGCCGGACTTGCGGCGCAACTTCTTCGGGGATTCCACTGCTGTGATCCTTTTTCCCGGCGGCGCTGGACCGGAGGTTACCTTCTCCGTAGGCGCGCCGCTTCGGGAGAGGATTTTCAGCTTCACAAACGCGGCAGTTCGTGAGCTCAAATCAAGGGCAAACCGCTGGGAACACGACAACGCGGAGCTTTACGGGAAGCGAATCCACGACAAGAAACTTATTGCGGAGGGGGAAGAAATATCTTCTTTCCAGTCTCTGTGCGCGCAAATGTGGCGGTCGGTGACGCGGGCTAGAAAGCATCTTCGGCCGGAGGCGCTTACGACATTCCGAATGGCAGTGAACTGTCGTCACAGGATTTCTCCGCCGATCGACAAGTTTTACTTCGGCAACGCGATTCAGAGCCTCCCGACGACGGCGAAGGTGGGGGATGTGGCGGAGAGCGAGCTATGGTGGGCGGCTGAGCTGCTTCACCGGAACGTGGCGGCACACTGGGACGAGAAGATAAGAAAAGGCGTGGCAGACTGGGAGGCGGCGCCGCGGTGCTTTCCGTTAGGAAACCCTGACGGCGCCGGCATCACGATGGGGAGTTCACCGCGATTTCCAATGTACGAAGGTAACGATTTCGGATGGGGAGGTCCGGTCGCGGTGAGAAGCGGCAAGGCTAATAAATTCGACGGCAAGTTTTCGGCTTTTCCTGGTAGGTATGGCGGCGGAAGCGTCGACATCGAGGTTTGTCTTGCTCCGGAAACGATGGCGGCGCTTCTCGAGGATGAGGAGTTCATGTACTACGTGTCCACAGGAAATGAGGGCGAAGCCGTTGACGCAAAATGACAAACACCTTGAGGGCGGCCTCCGAATTTTGGTTTACATAATTATCTAATTGACTCAGATTGAAGGTGATGCGGCGTTTGCTGCAGAGAGGAGGAAATTAAATGATTAATAAAAAAGGTGAGAGGAATGAAGGCATCTGGCAGCTGCCTACAGATAATTAGGAGTAATAAGGAACATATTATTTGCAAGCAGATATTTGGATATCGTTTTGGATTTTATGTATTTTCACAATATCTTTTGATTTAACTAAGTTAAGTTTAGCGGTTTAAGACTTTGGATTTTTGTGTTTTGGCAAAGTATGGTTCTCCGTTGTGTCTTGTGTAATTTTGACGTCCGAAAGCATTCGGCTTCATGGTATCATAAATTTTAATTCTTTCCGATTAATTACATAAATTGACCGTACAATTAGCATATCTAAAACCTCCTGTTGAAATTGAATAGTCGAATTAACTCACTGCTCAAAAAATTAGAAACATCATTTCTTTGACTGTCTCTCCTTGTAACCTGTTTATAATCTAGGACCTGTGGTGCAAGGGGAAGTCCTTATATGAACACTATAACTATATGGGATTTAATCACACTCTTGTCAACGGTTACATCACAAATTGCCAATGGGACCTCCCCTCCTCCCTCCCCGTGCATATCAGAAAACTAATTCTTGAGACCCTTATCAGTAATTTGCCGTATTTGTCCTGGGATGGTTATACCAAACTAAAATTTAGAAATGTTATCTCTCATTACTTTGGTAATTCGGAAGAGAAGTCTTGGTATAAATTCATTTGGCATAAGAGGCATGCCCTAAGATACTCTTGCTACACTTGGATGGCTATAATTAAGAAGCTTGAAGACACTAATTTGCTTATTATTAGGTCTATCCCTATCAGTCCTACTTGCCCTTTCTGTAATTCAGCTATGGAATCCCACAAACATCTATTTTTTGAATGTGACTACTCCTATATGGTGCTCACTGTTGTTTTGCCTATCTTCAATAGCTTCCTGCCTAGACCGACGTTAATTCAATCTATGGCTTTCATTAATTGTTTGCAGCATTTCAGTAGGGAGGATAAATGCTTTTGTTTTATATCTATCTGCTGCACGGTTTATTTCATTTGGAGGGAAAGTAATAACTATAGGTTTGCAAAAGCTTGGATTAGTCCTGCTTCTCTTTTTTCCATCATCAGGAATGCTTTACTACTTAAAGTCAATTTTTCGAGAAACTTTAATGAGCTCAAGGGCTGTTTTGACATTCTTCAGGAGATATAATTCGGCTCATCTCTTGCGGGTTGCAATAAGCTATGTTTGGTTGTGGGATAGTTTTACTGATTTCGATTGGTTCTCCCAGTTCGTTTGGGAGTTGAAGATTTGCGGCTTATTTTTCACTTTTGTTTGGGTTTTGGTGTTTTGGAACCGATTTTTTGGGTTTAGTTGTTGTTTTGAGCATGCTATGATGAATATGGCCAAGTGCTTACATCTTACTCTTCATCGTCTTTGCTAGAAACTTTTGGTTATGTTGACTAAACTTGGGCGCATAATTTGTCTGCTGCCTTCAGGTTTGGCCCATGTGCTAACCGTTAATCATCACCTAGCTGGCCTTAGAAAATCTGGGCACTCCGGCTAACCCGTCTCCACTATGGCTGCACATCCTTTAGCCCATTTTTTATGATGCATTGGCAGCTGGTCCATCCTGAGCCTAATTTTGACATTTTGGCTGTTTTGGATTCTTGTGGTTAACCTTTTGCATTTTTTCTGGTTCTCCACGCTTTTGTTTTCCATAGGTTTTGTTACTTTTCATCCTACTAGTTCATTTTGTAACTTTTTTGTGATTAATGTACGGACAATGCCCCAAAATTTTCCCAAAAAAAAAAAAAAACATGCTTTCCGGGTGGAGACCGTTTTTGCTTTGCTATGGGGCGGAGTCTGCTTATGCTCTATTAGGATTTTCATCGCCCTAGCTGATACGCCAATGATCCTCCATTTATCACCCTCTTTCCCCCCTTCAGCTTTGTTGGAGGGGTTCCTAGCTTGAGGGGCTCCTCCCTTCCATATCACACATAGATCATGGCCTTTACTTCTGATCCATTTGACTTTCAATCTATTTTGATCCCACCCCATCCATCCCGTATCCTCTCAGATCCCCTAACTCCACCACCATAAACTATAAACAACTCCTCTCCTTTCGAACCCCCTCATCTCAAGCGTTCCCCCTCACCTTTGTTCCCCCTTCGGAGGGTCCAATCTATTTCACTGAAGAAGAAGCATAGGCCAGTTCAATGAAATGGGGCCTTTCACTGATTAGCTACTCCATAGGCTGTCTTCCATACTATGAAGCGTTACTAGGATGAATTCTTAAGGGTTAGTAGTTATTATCTTTAAATAAAAGATTTTTTCTGCTAAAATTTTCATCCTTTGAAGATTATTAAATGGTCAGGTCCATAGGCTTGTGATTTTTCCTGGGTAAACATTTTCTCCTCTAGAAATGGTCACCCCTATTAGTCCCTAAGCGAGATGAGTTCACATATATTCCTATTTGACTTACAATCATTGACCTGCCTCTATCATATTGGAACTCATAGGGGAATATCTTAAATTGCTTGCATGAAAGGATCTCCCCTTGTCATCGACCCCCTCACAACAAAAAAAAGACTAGATTAACCTCTGCATGAGTGTGTGTGCAGGTGATTAATAAAAATACTGTGAAACCCCTTAAGTAAAAGAAGCTAAACTCTTAAACATTGAGATACATTTTGGTGCAATGGTTGTAATTTTATCAAAAAAACTTCATAGTTAAGTGTGCTCATCCCAGAGAAATTCAGAGATGGGTGACCTCCTAAAAAGTTACATCAACAAGATAAAATCATGAGGCCCTAGGGTCAAAGCAGAAAATATCTTAATAGTTAAGAGTTTAAGCTATTATAAATAGTATTATAGCAATATACAAGTTGAAAAATGGGAATTAAATGTCATATAAAATAAAGTGCTACACCATGGGAGTCTCATCTTCAATCATATATGGGATAGTGCTACATGGTGGGAGTCACCACTTGAACTTATAGGGGTCATCTCTAGAATCCTATCTATCTAGTGAATAATTTTGGGATAAAAATATTGACGGTGATGTTAGTTATTTAAATGGATGAGATTATGAAGCCTTAAGTAAAAGAAGCTAAACTCTTAAACATCGAGATATCTTTTAGTGTAATGGTCAGAATTTTATTAAGAAAAACTCCACATTTAAGTATGCTCATCCCAGATAAATTCTAGGAGGGTGACCTCTAACGATATTATGCCAACAGGACAAAACTGTGTGGCTCTTAGGCCAAAGCGGATAATATATCTTTCTAGTTAAGATTTTGGGTTATTATAGTTGCCTACCTAGAGGAAATAACCATATCTATTACTAGAAAAATCATGAACCTGAAAATATAATATGAATGAAAGCCCGTCTAATGTCAACGTTGCGGTTCTCTCATCCATACAACAACCATATGCCAAACTAAACCATCCACTAATATTATGGATGTCTCATTAACCTGTGTAAAAAGTTGAAGTAGAAAACCCAGGAAACCCCCCCATAAGCATGCCACCACATCTTCTAACTCAGGTCCTACATCCACTTTACAACCCTCTTTAGCCCTTAATAATAAACCCATAATGTATTGAACACATCCCTTAACTCTTCTATACCTACCATCACTATTCCTCCACCTCCTCCCACCAAGCCTAATGAAATCTCTATAACAAACACGGCCATCCCTAACCTCAATTCCCCTCACCAAAAAAAAAAATCCCCTCAGTAGAGATCCATATTTTAGGAGACGTCTTAGATCTCCAAGTGATGTCCAATCCCAACCCAATCCAAAATCCAACAAGTTCCAAATACTTAAACATAGCTCCTTATAAAACCCAATGCCGCATACTTTTTTAGAAATGCCGGGGTTAATTTAGTTTCTACTTCCACTACTCCTCCCCATAAATCGAACAGAGTAAAGCAACCAAAAAAGGCTCCCAACCCCTCAACTAAAACATAATGAACCTTCATATTATTACTGCTTGGAACATGAGGGGCTTCAATAACAAAAAAAAAATATTTTATTATAGAGATTTTATCCATCAGTATTCTTTAACATGCTTTGTATTTTGGAGAATAGTATTCATGAGTCATGCTTATTGGATCCCTATTTCTCTGCATCATATTTTATTTTTTGAAAATGAAAAAAAGTTGTCACAATTTTGAGCACTCCAAATCTGGGAGAATTTGGATCAAATAGAATGGGTCCAAAATAAATATTACCCCTTCCTTCATTTCTTGCCAAATGATTCAAGGTATTACTATTGTAAGCCCTCACATCTCCTTTTTGCTGTCCATGATTTATGCTTCCAATTTTATGGAAGAGAAAAAAAGTTTGTGAGACCAAATCAGAGAAATCAAGCCTCTGCCTAATTCTTCTAGGGTTATTATGGGACACTTCAAGTATGGTAGGTTCCAATTCGATAAAGTTGGTGGCAACATCATTCTTAGTAGCAGACTTTGGGATTTGAACTCCCTTATTTTTGCTGCTGGTCTTAGTGATTTGGCCTCTAAAGGTAACATGTTTACTTGGCATAATCAAAGACTGGATAATCCTATACATCTTAAATTAGATAAAGTCATGGTCAATGACTCCTAGATGAAATCCTTCCTATATTCATATTATAGGGTTAATAATCCTCTATATTCTGATCACTCCCATATCTATAATGATAATAACATAAAAGAGCCACATATTTCTTTTCAAAAACTATTGGATGAAAATACGCGAATTATTGGGATGTTTTACTATCTATTTTTTTTTTTCAACAATCTCCCTATTATATATTTATATCATAAGCTCCATATGCATAAAACTATGATTAAATATAAGCATTGGCCGGATACTGTTTCTTCCTTATTTGCCACCATCTCTGACCTTCAGAATATGCATGCCACTTGTCTTATAGAATTAAACTTTGACCCTTTTAATGTTGCTCTCAACTTCAAGCTTAAATAAATTAATAGTTTTGTTGCAAAAAAAACTTTGTTCGGACCTCTTGGAGCATCCAAAAGTTTAAAATCAAATGACTTTACTCAAGGTGAGGATAACCTCAAATTTCTTTATGCTAAAAATTGCTTGAGGAAGAATTACAACCAATCTGATGTGATCTCTAACCCTAATGCTTCTGATGTCATCAACAAAACTACTCAATACTTTAACCAACTTTTTAATGCTCCTACCCCATCCAATCTTGCAATACCCACATTGCTCATGGTGATACCATACCCCCTCATATGATGTTTTCCCGTATAACCTCGATGACTGATGAGGAGATCAAGATTGCTATCTTTTTGGCTCCTTATATTTTGCTTCTAGTCCTGA